TGGGAAGGGTGCCTGCTCTGTAAGTCATCCTAGGATAATTGGCATTCCACCTTAAAAGACAAACGAGAGGGCTTCCCTGGTGGCGCAGCGGTTGAGAGTCTGCCTGCCGATGCAGGGGACGCGGGTTCATGCCCCGGTCCGGGAAAATCCCACATGCTATGGAGTGGCTGGGCCCGTGACCCATGGCCGCTGAGCCTGCGCGTCTGGAGCCTGTGCTCCACAACGGGAGAGGCCACAACAGTGAGAGACCCACGCACCGCAAAAAAAAAAAAAAAAAAAAAAAAAAAGAGAAAAAAAAGGGAGTAAAAAAAACACCAAAAAAAAAAAAAAAAAAAAAAGACAAAGGAGAAAGAAAGGGCTGTAAATAGTCTATACAGAGTCAATACTAAACAATCCTACCATAGACAACTGGCCGAAATGTTTTTACACAGGAAAGTGGCATGATTTGATTTGTGTTTTACTTCCTATCCTGTGGGTGACTATTAAAGGAATTTTCTCTGATAATCTATTTCCATTTGCCAGTGAAAGGAAAATATTGTGATCATAGGTGTTGTGCTTCCTTTCACAATGACTGCTCATTGCTTTCAGAGAAAAATGTGTTCAACTGTTTGACTGGTTGTCTCTCAGTTTGTCTTGCAATCACGTAATTTCTTAAATCTGCCTCTGTAACTCCTATTTATTATATATTTCCTTTGGCTACATGGAGGAGTCTCTGCCAATCTTAAACTACACTTTCTGGCTTTGCATTTCAGTAGTACTTGTTTTGATACCTTATTTCTTTTGCATTATACAATTATACTTGCTCTATAAATTATGTCATCGACTCACAGTTCATGGACTAATCAATCTGTGAAAATCTATGACAAGAACAAATATTTCATAATTTATTTTAAAATATACTTACTTCCCACAAAAGCATTTTCAAATGGCATAAATATTTAAATTGACAGGAAAAAATCAGCATTTTTGAAAGCATGAGTAGAGTGTTTAACAAACTTGGTACAATAGTAAACAGTGGGTGAAGGTTAATTTGCTTACTTTCTCCTGCTTTATTTGTAGATATTAAGCTAATTGAGATGAATTTAAATGGACTACATAAATTTGGATTTTAAGGTGAATTAAACACAATTTAGAGGATGTGGAACTATATAGTATTAAACATGGAGAGTATTTTGTACTGGTAAAATCCAAGCTCCTCTTTCTAGAAAAAATGGAAATTAACAAAACCAAGTCACATGGTATTTCTGCAGCTGATAATGTGGTTGTGATCTGCTCACTGGTAGAATCAAGACTGAACACAGGCTTCTTAACAAACTAAGTACACCTTCCTATATGAATTATATTTATGTGATACATATAATCTTTTCTCAAACTGAAACTTCCTTTAACAGAAAAATTTGCACACACACACCCACATATCACAAATGTCCACTATTTTTTTCCTAGATATTACCTCCAAGACACATGAAATAATAAAGGATCATTTTGCATTTTCAGTTGCAAATTATTTCTTAACATTTAGTTAGTGATACATACTCCAGAGAGAAATACATAGTTTGCTATGAATGTTTCTTTGAGTTTGAGTGATTATTCATGGATTACACTGATGTTGACAATAATCTACTAGAAATAGGGTTAAATAATATACATCCTTTTTAAAGTGTCCAGTCTTTATAGAGTCATTATCAAACTATTAATATTGTAGGAGAGCCTGGTATTCAGTTATTCTCTCATAAATTTCCAACTTACATGTTTAATCTTACATATAGTACACTAACCGCAAAAAAGACTCCATTCTTTGAAATGTGATATGCTATACCATAAAACCAAAAGAAAAAGACTCAGCTAAGAATTACTTACTTTTTCTATGTATTTATTTTATTAAAGGAAAATGTGCTGTTGGAGTAATTGTTTATAATTTATCAAAGAAGAATATTATACACATTAGTTGTATTTTGTTTGTTCTAATTTAAATATGTATTTACTCCTCAGAAGCTATATTTGCCATTTCTTCTAAAATATATTTATCCTATTATTCTTCTAATCTATTTAAAACACTTCTTTGTGCTATGGGGGAAGGCAGGGTTACTGGCTTCTGATTTTTCACTGAAACAGCTTTGAAGTTTTCTTTATCTAAATGCATTGGAGCTGGCTATGGGTTACTGTGCACTGGAAATTCAAATAGTTTTGTGTCAAAAATTTCAACTGCCCACCCAGCATCAACCAAATTTCACATAAATCTTTTAGTGACTAGACTCATTTGTATACTCAATATGCACGGTTAGAAATGAAGGTAAGAACTATGTCTCAGAAGGAGAAGCAGAGGCAGGAAGTTGGAGATGAAAGTTAAGGTCTCTGGCTTGGACATGTGATTTGCACTTCAAGTCTTTGATCTGCTAATAACCAGGAAACAAAGTATGAATCTGGGAAGTACTGGGATACCAACTTCATCTGCGGTGAACCCTACCCCGATGTCTCAGTGGGAACTGGCCCAATCCTCATCTCCAGTGGAGGGTTCCATGTGTGACCCAGTTCTAGCCAGTCAACTGCTAGGAGAGGTTCATTCTACACTTGGGAAAGTTCTTCCTTCCTCTTTTGAAAGCTGAATGACTGGGGGCACAAATAAAGAGGTATGTCACTTAAGCTACCACTGGCCACCATATTAGAATCAGGAGAAAAGCAAGCCTTAGATTAAAGCTTGCCATGTGAGTAGAAGAACAGAGACAGAAGAAATCCAGCTCTTTTATGAGGATGCAGCTGAGCCTCTACATACATAAGCATCCATCTGGAAGCCTGTTCTATCCTTGAGCTTCTTTTTACATAAGCCATTAAATTTCTTTGTTGCTGAAGCTACATTGAACTGGGCTTTCTGGTTAGTTACACCAAAAGCATATAACCTCATTCAGAGGTATAATTATAAAATGAGGGCATACAATTCAGATAACAATTCTTCTGTTTGAAAAAAATGAAAACCAAAATTCAGGAACTTGTAATTTAGTTCTATATAATGAAAGATGTGTGGAATTATAGCCCATCATTACTGAATATAGTCTCTATACATATCCTTTCTTCACAAAACCATTCTGTAATTCCCACCACCACTCTTTTTAATAGATTAAGATTTTCACTAAGGGAGATGTAAAATAAAATCTGTATTCATGCATTTGAATAGGAAACACTACAAATATGGTTGAATACTCTATGCAAAATATTTCCTGATTTTTTTAAATTCAAACATAAAAAAATGTAATTTTCCAACCACATTTAAACAAAATTAATTATATTTTCCATAAGAGATAGTGTTTTTACATGTTTAAGAAAACCAAGCACTTGGGATAGAATGCTGAACCAAACATATATGGCTCTTGACCTCATGTAGCTTACAACCGAGTGCATGTGTGGGCTTTTATTACAGAGCACTAATCACATGATGGCAAAGCCACTTAATTTTTAAAAAGTTATTCCAAAAAAATATGTATCTTAAAATAATGGAATTAAAATAAGTTTTGAGTTAGCTACTGTTGGAAAATATATTTCTTTCTGAACCATTTTAAAGATACATAGTGTTTTCTTTATTTCACCAATGTTGAGTACATCCATGTTGTAATGTTAGTCTTTTTCTAAAATGTATTATGCTTTTTTACATTTTGAACTTTAAATATAACAGATATTTGTCTCCATTCACAATTCATTCAAATAAATGGATGAAATTTTTCAAATTATTTAATGTTTTGCCTTCAACATCATCATTAAAATTCTACAAGGAAAAAATACTTGTCTATATAACATAACAACTAAAACAATTCAAAAGCCAAAATTGAAAGCATTGTTAATATTTTCAATCTTTAAGCAACTTTCTAATGAATTCCTTGATTAAAAAATATATATATGTTTTCATGTCTACAAAGCACAAATGTTTTCTGTCAGTATTTTGAACCTTCTTATTTCTACTTAAAAGGAAATATTTTTCTTTGAGGTTTAGCTGATTATTTCCTTAGAGCTTTTTACAAGTTTGAAAATTTACACAATGAGTATTTCTAAAGCTTTATTGAAATCTTAAAATAAGAAAAATACTCTGCACAAAATGTAAACCGTGTTTAAGTTTTAAAATACAGATTTTATGAAGAGTGTTATCCTATGATGGGCAGTAAACTAAATCTCACTTTGTTTCATGAATAATCTCTTCTATCAATATTAATTGTGAAAGAATAAACAATTTGGAAGTTTTAAATGAGAGTTTGTATATGTGTATGTGTGTCACAGAAGGAGGACAGAAAGGAGAGAGATTCAAATTCATGGTTACAGGAATATCATCAATCAGCAAGGATCAATCAAGTATTTATCAAAGAAAAGTAACTTTTAATAATGATATAATTAACTTAGAGAAATAAGATAACTAGGTTTCATTAATCATATATTTATAAATTTAAGAAATTAAATTGTCGAAGTATTTTTCTCAAAATGACTTTGTATTTTACTTGAAAGAATAAGGCTAATTAAAACATAACCATTCAGAAAGCAAAAGTAAAACAAAGAGAAATATGTTTTTTAAGACGCTGAGATAATATAGCATTGCTACAAAAATGTGGCAATTCCTTTATTTGCCAATACCCTTTGTCAGCCCTCAAACACCACCAATCAAATTAACAATGACACAAATCAAAATTTTGTACCAACATCTTATATATACAGTGAATAAGGATGTCTTTAGAAAATGTTCCTATTTCTGGTGACCTGTAACATAAAATCTAGGTAAGAGTACTTGAAGATCTAGACATCCCTACCCTTCAATGAAATTTGATCATGATGCCCCCAGTACATATAAATTATGTCAAACCACTGTGACAATGGCAAAGAAAATAGGTGCCCAAGCTCGTCATAGGTAGAAAAGAGTCAGGTCAGAGCCATTTCAGAAAACATTATGCTAATGTTATAATGTGATATCCGACCATTGAACATTTACTTCCAACATAAATTGTATTTTCTTTCTGACCCCACAGATATCAGTTGTGTTTGTTATTACGGAGATTCCTATCTAGAATTTCGGAATGTGTTTTTAAATCCACAAAATAACATCTCCCTAGAATTTCAGACCTCCAACGCCTATGGACTCCTGCTCTACATCAAACAAGACTTAGATTCAGGAGATGGACTTTTTATTCAATTATTTATTGAAAATGGTACTTTAAAGGTAAGTCAAAGTTATTTAACATAAATTTTATGAAGTTGTTATGATTCACCACTTTAGTGGTTATTATCAATATAAAATTTAACCTTAATTATGTCTTTTATACTCATCACCAGGCTGTGTGTCCTGTTTTTCGTAATTTCTTCCTATTTGGTTTACACTATTTATACATCAAAATAGTATATGCTTTAAATAGCTTTCATTCTCCTTTTCTCTATATTTTCAACTTTTCTTCCACAATTATATTTCCCAATTTCTCAATTATAATTGCTGCAATTTTTTATAACTTTAATGGCAGACGTGACCTGGGAACCCCTGGGAAACCCCAGGTTTCTTTCAAAGGATCTTTAAGGGGAACACTCTCTTTATAATAACACTAAGATGTTATTTGTCTTTTTCGTACTCATTTTCATAAGTGTACATAGTTTTCCAGAAGCTTCATGATGCGATGTCATCCCTCTGATCACTAGTGTAATGTATACTTATATGTTTTTGTGTTTTAAAAGTCTGTTTTAATTTTAGTATTATACATATTGATAGATATAACCCATTACACAAAACTCTTTGGGGCCCTCAATAATTTTTCAGAGTGCAAAGAGATTCAGATATCAAAAATTTGAGACTGCTCACTTAAAACTTGCCAGTCTTTATAACAATCTTCCTTTAAAAGTCCAAAATTACACAGCTAAATTTTGAAGCCAATGATGAATTGAAAATGCGTGCTCTTTTCCCAAGACCATTCTACCTTATCAAATCACCTCATATTCCTGTTCTAAATACTCAGATTAAGGAAGTCATCACTGCAATAAGGTAATTAACTCAACACAGTCTAGTATATGAAACATGACAACAGTATTTTTGCCTATCATTTCTTTTAGATGTTATTTAAATATGATATGAATTTCCATAAAAGTGTGAGGTACACCTTCTAATTTAAATAAGCCAAGTTGTACAAGTTTGATTTTCTTTAAATACTCATCTTTCTTAAGTAATATAACACATATACATAATTTAGTAAAATGATATAAACAAATGTCAACCAGATGTTGACAAATTAGTAGTGGTAGCATTATCTTTATTCATTCATCCATGTTTTCACTCATTCATTGAACATTTATCCATCCCCAGTGACAGTGCCAGTTTGTGAGGATTCAATGGTAAATAAAACACACTTTGTTCTCATATTGCTTCAAATTGATTACAGATAATAATAACAGGTGAAAATGGGACAAGAAAATAGAATTATGTAATGAATAGAATACTATGATGAGCCATCAAACGTCAGTCTGACCCTTTAAGATAAGGTTTGCTGATCACTGCTCTACAGCATTTTCCTCGACTAAGACCAGAAATTTCCGTTAGTCTTATAATATGCAGAAAACATTAAGAGACCAAATATAAGGAACTATAAAGCACACATAATATTGAGCCCTGGTCACGTCCAGCACATTTTTCTACTCCTAACTCAGCTCACAACTCAGCCAGCCCCTCTCACCACAGTGGATGTCTCCAGAGACATGGTGAACCACACCAGAGACTTGTAGAATTATCGGTGAAAATATGTATGAAATAATGGAGAACAGAGATTTCTTTCACTTTCAAGTGGATAAAAATAAATTCAAATTAGTTGAGCTAAGACATTTAGGAATTATAAAACTGTAATGGGTGAAGAGAGGTGTAGAATTTCTTTCTTTTAGGTTTTATGACAAAGAAAACATATATATTGATACTCTGTAATAATTACTATAATTTCTTGGATTGCAATTACGTGTTGGGCTCCAACTTAAGAAAATATATTAAGACCATGGACTCTAGAGCAAGAATGTTAGAGTTGGAACACCAGCTTGGCCATTTAGGGGTTTTGAGGTCTTGCAAAGTTTAAGCTGTCTGCGCTGGAGTTTACTCACTCATGAAAGAGGGTAGTAAATGTAGGTGTGAGGTTTAAATTAGTAAGTGGATAAATATTGTGAAGTTAGTGTAATACAATGGGTGAGTAAGTAAAGGCATATAAACTCACAGAAGAAAGCCTGGGACATATTAATCCAATATGAGGAGTAGGTATTTCTCTCTGTATTTCTATTTCTTTTTCTCAAAGACTTCACAGGCCAGTGGAGGTTCTCAGCATGTTCGGTATTACACATGCTCTTTGAACTCTTTCAAAGATGGTAGATCAGGAATTGTTACTCCATTGTGTCAGTCCAAAATCCATGTTCTTTCCACACCCATCATTGTAATGATTTAAAGGAAATTTCAGTGCTATCCTATCTTTATGATTTTAAGATTTTCCTTAATCTGCTATGATTTTTCGAGACTATGCTCCAATTTCCTCATTCATTTTAAAAGTATAATCATATGGGGAATGTATTTACATTACAATTTTCACAAAAGACATATTATGGTTGAACTCTTCCAGTGATCATAATTTAAGACCTATTCAAATTCTAGAAATGCAGAATTGTTAGTCAAATGTTTTTTTAGGAAATTTAAGTTTCAAAGATAAATGTATCAAAATTAATGTTTAAAACTATTTCATTGGCTCTTTCTAATAACAAGGAGGTAAGCAGATACATCCATGTTGGGACTCAAATGTCAGTCCCTTCACTTATTAGCTGTTTCATGAATCACTGTGCCTCCCTGACTGGAGCAGATCACTCCCCCTCAGTTTCCACCTCTGAATAAAGAAGGTAATAAAAGGGTAGTACCTACTTCACAGATTTTTGTTTTTCTTGTTTTTTGTTTTGTAAGAAAGCAATTAGGTGAAACCTATAAATTACTTTAAAAATCCATGGTACAGAGTAACAATCACAGTAGCTATTGTTTTATATATATCATAAAGGAGCTATTTATAATAAAAGAAAAAATTCAATACAATTAATAAAATCATCCATTAAATATTTTTAAATGTTTAACTTTTACATCCCTGAAGATAGGAATTAATAAGTCTTAGCTGTACCTGAAAAATAATTTTCTGATATATTTGAACAAAACAAGGAGATTACCACCCCCAATACACACACATTGTTGGCCAGTAAATTATCATTTAAACCTAAATAACTATTTTAACTAACAACATAGATCTCCTAGTGATGTACATAAGAAATAGGTAAATTATTATCCATGCTGCCAAAAATATTAAATATTAAATCTGGTCACCTTGATTGCATACTAGACACAGCATAAAAATGCAATAGACAAATGTGGCCTTTTACTTAGTTACACATGGCTTGAGAAGAATGTACAGCCAAAGGTCATGCAACTGATTTTCTGGTAAAGTACATGTAGATATATTTGTTTTTGAAAATCTCAGTGCTGTTTAACATAGTTCTTAAAGTGAGCCCTCAGTAGATGATTTTATAAAGGAAAGGAACCTTTTTGAGATGACCAAATATAAAAAGTTAAGATATATAGCATTATGTTTACCTTTGGATTACATGTGGGAAGATATTGACATATCAATTTAATGTAGCTAGATGCATAGGAGTTATGAAACACTATGCAACTGTGTTTCTTTAACTTATATGTGGCTTACAGATCTCTAATAGATATGCTAAAGACTATAAAGGCCCTTTCTGTGAAAGAATGGCCACAATATGACTGATATACTTTCAGGAACATGCTGTTGAGAAGATGTAGGCACTGCAGCCCATTCATGGAATTCCCAGGGGTGTCTGGCCAAACATATCTACTATAGACATGATTTGCTCCTTTTAAAACCATAACTCAGTTGGTCCAATTAGCAATAATCCCACAAATGGCCATAGTCCCCTTCAATCCTCTGGAAGTTTAGGATGAATGATTAACTTTCATAATCTTTGTTTCCCTTGTGTGACGTTAACATCATTGTCTAGATGGTATACACTAGTGTTTGCATTGCTCAGTTACTAGTATCTAAGGAAAATTGCCTATTAACACTCACTCCCAGCTAGCTGAAGACGCTGCCTTTCTCAACCAGGCTCCCCAGAATACAAGAGAAACCAGAAGTGTGTGTTTGTGTGTGCGTGCGTGTATGTATGTGTACATGTGTATGGTTTACGTGTATATATATAATATGTATGCATTTATGTGTTTTTATTCTAGCACTTATTAGTTGCACACCTTGAGCTGTCACTTTAATTTTCAGACTTCTTATCTCTCCAGCACAATAAAATATTACTGGTAAATTGTAATGTTCAATACAAAAATAAGATGTTAATTTCACACTGAAAAACTGTTTGAGGAAAAAATTTTTTTCCCCGTAGTACCACTTTTTCTGTGCTGGTGAAGCAAAATTGAAAAGCATTAACACTACTATTAAAGTGGATGATGGACGAAAGTATACACTGCTTATCAGGTAAGATACACTTTTTATTTCCACTTCATCTCATATGCAGCAAAGACTATTTCTCTGGGTATTGTTCTTGCACTTTAAAGTGGAGGCTCTCCTGATTAATATTCACATATTCTTGTATGTAAATTAATGTTCATCAAACCATTCTGTCTTTTCTATATGTCCTAAAACAGTACTGGGGAAAGCATGTTATAGGAACTATATTATCAAGGAATAAGCAGATTTATAAAAAGAAGCCCTGAAATCCTCACAATGTTTTCCACTTAGAGGAGTTGTGAAAACAAACTGGTATTTCTTTTGATAAACAGAGTCAAATATATTCACTATAGAAAATGTGGAACATTCAAAAAAACATAAAGAAGAAAAGTAAAATGATCCATTATACCACAATTGATATAGAGTAATGAATATATATTATTATATTCCTAAAAGCTGCATTTGAAGTTGACTTTACCCCCAAATCCTCACCAACATCAGATATAATTTTGCCAATCTATTAAGTGAAATTGACATTTCCCCCTAATTTGCATTTTTTTAATTTTTAGTAAGGTCTAATTTTTAATACCTAGTATATATTATGTGTTTTGCCTCCCTCCACCATTTTTTCTAAATAAGTGATATTTTGAAACACACACCATCATCCTTATCCAGTATGTAGACTAAAGTAAGTTATTTGGTTATGGCAATAGGTTATTATTTGGTAAAAATAATTAACTGTTTAAAGCCAAAAAAAGAAGAAAGCAAAGAGGCAAAAAAAACAGAGACTGGGAAAGAAGTAAAAGGAGAAGTTTTAAGGAAGTCTACCCTCTTTCAGCCAGAACTACCCAAATCCTATTGTCTAGAATCCAGACTCTTAGGGAAAATTAATGAAAAAACAATTTATTATCAACTAAATTGTGGAAAGGTTACATCACATATACCTTCCCTGACACTCAAAATGTACGTGTGCATTTTAAGACTCCTGAGATCCTAATTTAATAAAGTGTCGCTTTCTTTGCTTAACTCAAGACATGGTCACAGGACACTTTAATGTTTTTCTTCAGCATTTTAACCTCTTGAATAATCAATGCTGAGGGCAATGCACTTTGGAAAATGCCATCCTAGCCAAGGTGATAGTTTCCCAAGGCAGAGTGTACCACCATCTGGACGGATGGTGGTCTATGAACATTGGGGTAGCAGTGAGAATTGTATAACAAAAGACATATTTGGACCCTTCAAAGCAAACAAAGACAGGTGAGAAATGGTGGGAGAGACAGAGAGTGCACCAGACGATGCTGTTCTAACTTGGGGAGTGTTGAAAAAGGGTTAAAAAATAAATTGAGAACACGGTAATCATAGTTACAGTTTATTAAACACCAATTATGTGTCAAGTCGTAATTCTATTACATACACAAATTTATTCATCTCTAAGAACAATTTAATTATTAACTTTTATTATAGTTTCTTTCATTTTTTATTGAAGTATAGTTGATTTACAATGTTTCAGGTATACAGCACAGTGATTCTTTTATACATATATATAGATTCTTTTTCATATTATTTTCCATTATATAGTTTATTATTATATATTGAATATAGTTCCCTGTGCTATACAGTAGGACCTTGTTGTTTATGAATTAACATTTTATTATAGTTTTACTATCATTTCCCAGATGTAGAACTAGGAGATATAGAGGTTAAATACAGAAAAAAAAACAGCTTGAAAAGGGCACAATTCCAAGGCTACTCAAAAACGTCTGAATATGTTTTAAGTCATGGGTACAATGACCCACGTTGTAGAAACGTAGTGTAATTTGATCTCTTCTCTTCTACCCTGAAAGAACTACTGCATATTCAAGATAAGATAAAGATAAGAATTATAAATAATGTGACCTGGGCTTCCCTGGTGGCGCAATGGTTGAGAGTCTGCCTGCCGATGCAGGGGACGTGGGTTTGTGCCCCGGTCCGGGAAGATCCCACATGCCATGGAGCGACTGGGCCCGTGAGCCATGGCCACTGAGCCTGCGTGTCCGGAGCCTGTGCTCCGCAACGAGAGAGGTCGCAACAGTGAGAGGCCCGCGTAACGCAAATAAATAAATAAATGTGAATGATGTGCCCTGCAAAAAAGCCTTCAAGCAGCAAGAACAATATTAACTAGTAAGCATTAAACAACCACCATATGCCGGATGCTTTACAGATACATAACTAACTAAGCATCACAGACTGGGGGACTTAAATTACATAAATTTACTTTCTCACAGCTCTGGAGGCTGGAATTCTGAGATCAAGATATCGGCAGGACTTGCAGCAACATGGCTGCAACTAGAGATTATCATACTAAGTGAAGTAAATCATAAAGAGAAAGACAAATACCATATATCATGTAAATGCAGAATCTAAAATATGACACAAATGAACCTATCTACAAAACAGAAACAGACTCACAGACATAGAGAACAGACCTGTGGCTGCCAAGGGGGAGGGGTTTGGGGGAGGGATGGATTGGGCGTTTGGGATTAGCACGTGCAAACTATTATATATAGGATGGATACACAACAAGGTCCTACTGTATAGCACAGGGAACCATATTCAGTATCCTGTGATAAAACATAATAAAAAAAATTTTTAAAAAGAATATATGTATATATATATGTGTACATATATGTGTGTTTGTGTATAACTTTGCTGTAGAGCAGAAATTAACACAACATTGTGAATGAACTATACATCAATAAAATTTTTTTAAAAGATACTGGCAGGGTTGGTTTCTTCTGACGCCTCTCACTTGGCTTGTATATGACTGTTATCTCCCTGTATCTTTGCACCATATCCTCTGTGTGTCTGTGTTCTAATTTCCTCCTCTTATAAAGACATTAGTCATGAGGGATTAGAGCCCACCTAATTGTTTCATTTTAACTTCTTATCTCTTTAAAAACCCTACCTTCAAACAGTCACATTCTGAAGTACTGAGGGTTAGGACTTCAACATATGAATTTGTTATGAGTCCATAACACTCATTTTGCACATTTCAAAGCTGAGGATCATAGAAAGTAAGCAACTTTCTCAAGATCACATGGTGCTAGTCAGTGCGAGGGCAAGGTGAGAACCCAGATCTCTTAAATTTTTCTACTATAGCATGTCCAGTCTGTGTTTTAAAAGTGACTACATACTCTTTAAAGTGTTTTTTAAAAGAAAAACATTACATCTCAGGGGTACTTATTTTTTCTCTATCCTCAGCACATGTCACTTTTAAGGATATTTAACAGGAAAAACAAATCACTTTCCTTAAAGTTATATAACTACAATTTGTTTTTTGCAATTTACACACACTATTGTTTTTTATTTTTATGAAAAAGTAGTTGACAACCTGTCTATATCTGGTCTAAGTTATCTAAATTCAGAAATATTTCTTCACAGGTCCTGGGTTTGTTTGAAATAATGGAAAATTTATAGAAATATTCATTTTTCTTATGTTTATCATCTATAAAGAACAAAAGTGGAGCTCCATTAATTTTAGTTTTCTACACCTTTAAAACATACTTAGAAGTAAAAGGGAAAAAGAAAATTTCAATTTTGTTTAAATCAATTCAGGAATGCTGTGGCTATAATTTAAAAAAAATTATATTCTGCGTGCACGTTATTCTTTGTTTTTTCCTGGACATGCCGCGCAGCATGTGGGATCTTATTTCCCTGACCAGGGATCAAACCTGCGTCCCCTGCATTGGAAGTGAGTCTTAACCACTGGACCACTAGGGAAGTCCCTGTGGCCATAATTTTTTGACCATTAACATACCTTTAAAGTAAAGCTAATTGTATGCACACATTTCACTCCCAACTCTACACTCTCATCTTGTTTCTGTTGGATGATGACGTTCCATTGCATATGAATATAGGAGAAGTATCCTTCCTCCCATGCTCTAGTGGAATAGTGGGGGAAAAACAGCAAGGCTGTGCACTGCCTATGAAGAAAGGCTGTCTCAGAAAGACTGAAACATATACTCTTTGTGAAAAAGTAACTTGAAAAGCTCATTATTTTTGGAAAAAGGAAAGACAGGATTTCTGCACAGGAGCACGATACTTTTAAAAAAGAAACGTGTGATTATTTAACCTAACAAAAGCAGGAAGGAAAATATGGAGTGCTTAAATCAGGTGAAATGCACACTGGTATAGTAAAGGTACTAAAAGTACATGTACTAAACCTATTTTACTGAGATATTAGCTAAAGCTGTTGTTCATCTTTTAATGAAAGGGAAAGTACAAATGAAACCAAGTAGTGATGTTAGGCTGCAAAACCACAGCATATAGTACATAAAGAAGAAAAACAAACACAAATAGGTAAGCATTTGTCACCCCACTCTTGAACACCTTGGTACGCTTAAGGATGAGGTGCTCTGTAGATTATATCAGTGGGCTCAGTCATGGGTTCAATTGTGTCTCCAAAGGTTTGCATTGAAGTGCTAATCTCCAGTATCTCAGAATGTGACCTTATTTGAAGATAGCGTCTTTAAAGAGGTAATCAAGTTAATCTGAGGTCATTAGGGTGAACCTTAATCCCATATGACCAGTGTCCTTATAAAAGAGGGAAATTAGGACACAGAGAGAGACATGCACAGAGGGAAGACAGTATAAAGAGAGGAGAAGGCGGTCATCTACAAGCCAAGGAGAAGGACTTGGAACACATCTTTCTCTCGTAGCCCTCAGAAGGAACCAACACTGCTGACACCTTGATCTTGGACTTCTAGCCTGCACAAATGTGAGACAATAAATTTCATTTGTTGAAGCCATCCAGTCTATGATATTTTGCTGAGGCAGCCCTAGCAAAAAAATACAAGCTTTCTTGTCTTCTTGCTTCCTATGTGGTTCCATCAATGGGGAACACTGGAAAGAAATTCAAGAGACAAGCAAGTGGCATCATGATCTATAATCCCTTGACCTTTGTATGGTGTCCCAGGGGCTGGCTCAGTCCCTCCTGTGAAGGTATCAGCTCCTGGCTGATGGCGCTCCTCCAAGTACTGATGACTCCT